TATATAACAACTAATCATGCAAGGAAACACCTTAGGGACTAGGAAACACTCGAATGGAAGTGTTACAATCACATGTGATTGCACATAAAGGGGTTTACGGCCACACATGGTGTTCACGGCCATGATGTTTACGGCCCAATGTGTTTACGGCCATGGGGTTTACGGCCCTATGAGTTTACGGTCGTACACTCATGAATACATATGCCAAAGAGTGTTTTATAGTCCTATTCAGCATCCAGGAAGTGTGTCTTGACCCATTCCTAGCCTTAAGAAGAGTTTATGGCCAAACTAGGAACCTTAACAAGGGTTTACGGCCAAGGGAGATGCTCATGGCCGTAAACTCTCATTGTTCTTGGGAAAATGGTTGTTTTTAAGGGTGTATGTTAAGAGCTTCTATAGTATAACTAGTATATGGAAGATTACTTACGTTTTGAAGCTTGAAGGGGGTGTTTAAGGTCCAAGAACTAGTGTGTGTTCTTGGTGTTCTTGGTGCTCTTGAAGATCTAACCCAAAAGATGAATTTCATACATGAAATCAAAGGGTGATACTAGATTAAGAAGAATAACATCTAATAACATGGAAAGAATGCTTACTCTTTTGAATATCAAGGTGAAAATCTTGATGATAGTTGAGAGAGAATCCGAAATCTAGGCTTGGAAGTGTAAGAAATGACTAGAATTGAAGGTAAAACTCATATATGGACATGAGTTTACGTCTAAGGAGGTGTTTACGGCCGTAAACTCCTTATGAATGGAGTTTCCGGCTTGTATGTTGCACACTGCACTCTAGAATACACTTCTTAACATTCCTTTTTGAAGGTACTAGGCTTATAACACTCAAACAGACCCTAAACAGTGCTAAAAGATAGCAGAAACGAGTCTAACTTTGATTGAACTGAATGGTTGCACAAGATAGAAATTTCAGGTTGTCACATCATCCCCCCGTTAGAGAGAATTTTGTCCCGAAATTAGAGTTTAAGCAATTACAAATAATTAAGCGAAAAGATGAGGATATTTCAGTTTCATTTGATACTCGCGCTCCCAAGTGAATTCAGGTCCTCGCTTGGCATTCCAGCGAACCTTCACTATCGGGATACGGCTTTGCTTCGTTTGCTTGACCTCTCGGTCCATGATCTCTACTGGTTCTTCCACGAAGTTGAGGCTCTCGTTGATCTCGATCTCGTCGAGTGGGATTACAAGAGTCTCGTCGGACAGACACTTTTTCAAGTTCGAGACGTGGAAAGTAGAATGTACGTTACTGAGTTCGCGAGGTAGTTTGAGTTTGTAAGCTACAGGGCCGATTCTAGCGAGAATCTCGAAAGGCCCTACGTATCTTGGATTTAGCTTTCCACGCTTTCCGAAGCGTATCAAGCCCTTCCAAGGTGAGACCTTCAATAGAACACGGTCGCCAACCTGGAATTCCAAAGGTTTCCTTCTCTTGTCTGCGTAGCTTTTCTGTTGGTCTCTAGAGGCTTTCAATCATTCACGGATTTGAACGATCTTCTCTGTCGTTTCCCGAATGATTTCCGGACCTGTGAGAGTGTTGTTAGGAACGCATCCTTTAGCTAACTGTGTGTCACCCACCTCAGCCCAGCACAGAGGGGATCTGCACTTTCGGCCATAGAGGGCTTCAAATGGAGCAGCCTTTATGCTCGTGTGATAACTATTATTGTAGGAGAACTCGACAAGGGGTACGTGAATATCCCATTCCTTTCCAAAGTCAATCACACAGGCTTGCAACATATCTTCCGAAGTTTGAATAGTTCTCTCACTTTGTCCGTCGGTTTGCGGATGGTAGGTTGTACTCATGTCCAGCCTAGTTCCTAGGGAACTTTGTAGCGACTTCCAGAACCTTGAAGTGAATCTACTATCTCTATCATAGATAATGGATATGGGAACACCATGCAGTCGTACGATCTCCCTAATGTAGGTTCTAGTGAGTTTCTCCATCTTGTTAGTCTCTTTGATGGGCAGGAAGTGTGCGGACTTGGATAACCTATCTACGATCACCCATATGGTATCGAGACCACTCGTAGTCTTGGACAACTTGGTTATGAAGTCCATCGTGATCCGCTCCCACTTCCATTCTGGTATCTCCAGTTGTTGAAGTAAACCTGATGGTTTCTGGTATTCGACCTTAACCTTGGCGCAAATAAGGCATTTACTCACGAAGGTAGCAATCTCTGCTTTCATGTTAGGCCACCAATATAGCTTTTTAAGATCCAGATACATCTTATCTGAACCTGGGTGGACGGAATATCGAGTGTTGTGCGCTTCTGCCATGACCAAGTCTCTGAAACCACCGTGTTTCGGTGTCCAGATCCGATCCATGAGATATAAGGCTCCGCCACCCTTGACTTCCAAGTTCTTATCCATCCCTCTCATGGATTCACCCGCCACATTTTCAGGTTTTAAGGCTTCGAGCTGAGTCTCCTTAATTTGTGTGGACAGATGTGAATGGATAGTCATAGTCAATGATTTGACTCTACGACCAGAGTATTCTTTCCGAGTTAGGGCGTCAGCTACTACGTTGGCTTTACCGGGATGATAACGAATTTCGCATTCGTAGTCATTGAGTAGATCGACCCACCGTCGTTGTCTCATATTGAGCTCCTTCTGGTCGAATATATGTTGAAGGCTTTTGTGGTCTGTAAAGATAGTGCTTTTTGTACCATACAGGTAGTGTCTCCAGATCTTTAGAGCAAACACAATTGCTCCTAACTCAAGATCATGCATGGTGTAGTTGACCTCGTGTGTCTTTAGCTGTCTTCAGGCATAGGCGATGACCTTACCTCATTGCATGAGAACACAACCGAGTCCTTGGTTGGATGCATCGCAATAAACCACAAAGTCTTCTATCCCTTCTGGGAGGGATAGTATCGGTGCGGTGCATAGGGCTCGTTTCAGCGTTTGGAACGCCTTTTCTTGTTTCTCTTCCCAGTCAAAGGCCACGCCTTTCTGGGTGAATGTCGTAAGTGGTTTCGCAATCTTAGAGAAGTTCTGAATGAACCTACGATAGTAGCCAGCGAGGCCTAGAAATTGGCGAATTTATGTAGGCGTCTTTGGTGCTGACCAGTTCTCAATGGCCTTTATTTTGGAAGGGTCCACATGAGAATACACTATAATAGTAAACAAGCAACAACATCATCCATTGCATTAATAATATAATTTTAATACAAGTGTGTTCTGTGTATAGTTTATAAGACACCAAAAATGAATAATCAAAATAGAGACAAGTCTTGAAAGCTCCGTCTTCTCAAAACCTGGTCATCGGTACCTGTCTACTGGTGACCTGAGAATACAAGTTATTTTGAAAGAGTAGATCAGCATTAAAACTGGTGAGTTCATAAGTATTTTAGTGTCATTGTTTGTATGAAAGTGTTTGAAAATATTTGATGTAAATGTTTGTAAGTGATTTGAGTAAATGTTTGTATCTCCTAGAAAATCCTATATTTTCTACTAAAAATTAGTCTTCTACCAAGACCCGAATGTTCTGTATGTTGTTTGTTTGTAAAAGTGTGTATATTTCCCAAGTATGAATATCATTACCAAAGTATAGTTTACATTACCGTTTATGTGAGAAGATCACAATGTGAATGCAATGGGAAAATAAAGATGTATTGTAGTATTGTATATAAGTAACTACCAATGTACTAACTACCTTAAACCAGTTTGTTTAATTAAGGTAAAATGTGATGAGGTTGTAACCATACTTGATTGACTAGTAAAACACGACGATTAAATACATCGAAATGGTATGACATTCGTCACCCGTAGACCTGCAGGTCCCACTGTAGCTAGCAGCAAGGTGTAGGACGGTCAGTCTCGTATAGATCTATACACAAATTCACGCTTTCCCTCCAGGAGACTCTGGTTACAAAACGTGACACAGCAGTAGATTGCCATGCCACGAAGTAGTGGCTCACATTAATTTTATAGTATTCTAGTGTTTGTATAGTATGTTCTAGTGTATTGTATGTTCTCTCTATTCACTACTAGAAAACAACCCTTTAATGACGTGCGAACAATGACATGCAGTGATTTACGATACGCATTTTTGTGTGCCCTAAAAATAATGTTAGCTTTTCCTAAAATTCAAGAATAGAGGACATGCATTTTTGCGTGCCCGATAATTTGCGTCAAAAAAAACACGGAGGGCACCTTTTATAAATAGTGTGTCATCTAGGCCTGTCGTTTTATAATATTTTAATGAAAGGCGCTTCTCCATCCATATAGCATCTCGATATACCTAAAGAGGGAAATGAAATCCCAAAAATCAAAAACCCCGCTCATTCTCTTCTCCCTTGTTTCCACCAGTTATGCCATTGATTTTTTGATTCCTTCACACTCTAGAACAAGCACATACATCACTCTCTTATCATTCTCCTTTAATTTCTTACTCTTGCAATTAAGGATTTAGGGTTTTTTCATATTACTGTTCCAATTTTTTTGTTCAGGTTTGGATTTTAGTCAAATGGCGTCCCTAAAGGAAAGTCTAATGCGTCGGGCCGCCGGCCTGTGGCGGTGACAGTCCGTCTCGCCTAAAGGAAAGTCTAATGCGTCGGGCCGCCGGCCTGTGGCGGTGACAGTCCGTCTCGCCATCCAGTTAGCGGAGGAATACCTGGACCACCGGTAGTAGGTCAATAGAAAGTCAACGATTGCACCTAGAAATACAAATCGGAAGCCTCGATTGTAGCGTCGATCGACAACTACGACAACCCTAAAACACATCTATGAAATCGCAAAGGTGAAGCAATCAGATCTGTAGTCCAATTTCTTCCCCATCGATCCTCACACTAACTGGTTCGGCAACTGCAACCCCTCTCGATTGTAGTGTTGATCGACAACTACGACTCATCAACTGGCAATCGAAGCTACCAGTTCAACGAGCCCTAATCGATAACTACATGGATAAGGTACTTGTTGGCTATTAAATTATATTCATCTTAATTTCCCCTTTCATATATGTTTTTATTGGATTTCTCTCAACTCACAGACGCAATGGCGTCAAGATCGTATGACAAAGTCGTTGATATCTGCGATCAACTTATGCTTCAGGTAACATACATATGAATCTGTGTAATGATCGTTGTGCGCTAATCGTTGCTTACTACTACGACTGACTGTGTGTTGGGTTAAGATTTGAAACCTTAATTTTATATCTGCTGGCTTGATTTCAATCTTAGTGTTACTTTCTTTTTCCTTTTTTCATGTAGATTGCTTCACAAGGCGTTGCATTTCAAGACGAATGGTCGTATGACGGTCATCTTCTAGGGCACATTTACCTTAATGATATGTAATTTAAGACAATTTGTCTCTATTTTTTCTTTTTTCATGTGTTCTATCTATACATATGTGGCATTGTCTAGTATCGACTGAGCCTGGGATTTTTGTGAAGCTAAAGTTATAAGTAGTTAGTGAAATTTCCCCTCCAGAATTTTAAAATATTAGTGTTATCTTATTGTTACAAGTATGATGTCTTAGAGAAGTATATAGATTTCGATACCTCTTTTTTCTGTCATAACTTGTTGTGTATCTATTCTTCTATATGCATATGTTAAGGTGCAACGTTGTTTAATATGTGTGTGTGCAAAAGTCAAAAATAGTTAAATAAATAAAGAAACTGCTACTTAATTCATATGTTACCTTGTGCTCTGACATTAGTCCTAGCAATTGAGTGAAATATCCACAAAATGTTGAACCTGATCTTAAGATTGCTTCAGATCTGAATTTTGAACCTGATCTTAAGATTGATTATGATATAAAAGGTGAAATATCCACAAAATGTTGGAATGGGTTTGTTTGAATTGCAAAGAGATGTTTGCTTAGCCATCCAAAGGAGTGCCCTACCATGGCTGAGGTTGTTTTTAGTCTTGAATCTGCACTGAACATAGAAGACAAAATCAATAGTTCCTTGTAGGCTGGTGGCAAAACAATATTTGGAAGAATGTTTGATAGGTTTCCCTTTGCCTCCAGTGTAGAGAACTCTGGTATTTTCAGCTCCTGTTGAATTGTGTGTATAGATTCCTTAGAATATAGAAATGCAAATTCATAATTTTAAAACACAAAAGAGTATTTATGCAGAAAGAAGTACTGAGTTAAAATATTCAAGGTATCATTCTATCATTTACTTCAGTTATATTGGTGATTAGCATAATCCAAATTTCTTTCATTCATTTTATTATTAACTATTTCTAGTTTCATTGTTTTGCTCTGAAGCCTGATTCTTGATAAGTTTTTTCTGCAGCCTAGGTGATGGGGCATGCCTAAATTGGACCCTTTCATAGGGCCACTTTATATACTTGCTTATCTTTTTTACACTCTTAAAACTAGTACAAATTTGTTTGATAAATAATAATGCTCGTTTGTACTTGTTCCAATGCTTATGAGACATTCATTTGGTCATCTACTATGAGGGTATATAATAACTAGACTTATATAATGTATGTGGTAGAGAACTCAAAATTATTACTATATAATCTTGATTTGTTCATCTTTTTCAGCCCATGATGATTCAAAGTTATCAAGTAATGACAATGGCAATGTTATGGGTGAGGAAAGTTCTGGAAATATATCCAGAGGTCGGGTTGACAACAACACTTTCATCTCTACAAATCCTGATGTTGGTATTAGGAAGCACAAAGAAGAAGGTTTTCAGCGACATACTACAAGTCTGGTATGTATCCAAAAGTACACAACTTATATTTATAATGAAGACAAAATTGAGAGTTTTATGGGAAAACATTTGACTAACATATTTCTTCTCATCCTTTCACTTGCTGACATTCTCACAAATCCGTTAAATAGATTATATTTGAGGAGAAATGCTAGATGATATTTATGAAATAGGGTTACACGAAATACTCATGCTACCCTTATCTAGTTTCCTATTTGCATTGTATCTTTGTATATAAAATGAGGGCTTAATCACAAAATAAAATAAAAGAAATATTTTCCAGATAACTTCTAGTTTTCATCTATTATAATGACCCTAGGAGTCTGTAGCAGGAACTACAGACGCAAACTTTTTCAGTGAATTTGGTAAAGGGAGGAGGTACAAATTATTGGTAAAGGAAGCTCTGGTATTGTATGTTCTGCATATGATACTCATGTTGGCGAAAAAGTAGCAATCAAAAAGATAAATGATATATTCGAACATGTTTCTATTGCTACTAGTATCATGCGTGAGATTAAGCTCCTTAGGCTCCTTCGTCATCCAGACATTGTGGAAATCAAACACATCTTATTGCCACCTTCAAGAAGAGAATTCAAAGACATATATGTGGTGGTTTGAGCTTATGGGATCTGGTCTACATTAGGTTATTAAAGGAAACGATGACTTAACACCAGAACACTATCAATTCTTTCTTTATCAGCTTCTTCGAGGACTGAAATACATACACTCAAGTCATACAATGTTATCATCTGATGATATGAGTATTTGTTTAATTGTTTGAAGTAATCATGCCTTGTTATATTTTTGTGTATTCTGATTGTGAATTACTTCTTTTGTAGCAAATGTCTTTCACAGAGATCTAAACCCCAAAAATATTTTGGCCAATAAGGATTGCAAACTCAAGATCTGTGACTTCGGTCTTTCAAGGGTTGCATTCAATGATCCACCAACTGCTTATATATATAAACTACCCTTTTGGCAGCGATTTTACTTAGTGTAATATACATGGAGATTTGTCAAAGACTTAATTTGACTATTGTTGGGTCACGGGTTGGTGAAGACTTTTTAATTTGACCTGAAACCCGGAACCCAGAGGTATGTTTATTCAGCTAAATATCAAAATGGTTCATCTACACCACATGATGATATATTATCAATAAATCAAGATAATAATAATAATATCAAAACTTCAGTTACTCCATTAGGCAGCCTTTCATCACCTTCACCTATGATGGATTTATTACACAGATTTGGTCCTACCCCTCCACCACCTAGTATGTTTATTTATTTATTATTTTATACTAAATTTTGGTAAAAAAAAGTTATTTTTAAAATTTTTCAGTTGCATTTGGAATCTGCTAGCAGTAACTCTCTTCCTGGAAATGGTAACGGCTCAATAACACAAAAATTACGAGTTACCAACACTCAACATGGTAAGGTAACTATAAACAAATCATCATGGAATGAAATGTTTGTGTGTTTTTTTTTTAAAATATCGTTTACATGATGAATGTTGTTTGTTATGGCAGAAAGCAATCATTATGCGCATACGAATAAGTTACAAGTTGAACAACAAAGACATGTTGGAAGAAAGACAAATCAGCAACATCCCTCGTGAGATATGATAACATTTTTCGCTCTCTTCTATCACCATCTCTTAGTGTTTATATTTGGGACAATGTTATTAAATATTATTTGTATCTTTGTATTCCCATGTTCTTAGGTCCAAATCATGGATATTTGAATTTGTTGATTTTGGAGGTGAAATGAGACGAGATATATGGTGCTAATAAAGGTAAGACAAGGGCAACAAATTATGCCATTAATGACATTAATCACTTGCATTTGTGATTGTATTCGTTACATATGGATTCAATACTTAGCTAAGTTGACCTAGCATTTTATTCTTCTAGGTTGACTCAATCAGTTCTTGTTTTTGTTGTAAATTGTAAATTGTAATTCAGGGTATTCTTGGTCCATGTGCATCACTTGAGAAGGTTCATATCGTATTTTAAAGAATGTTGACTCTTTGTTGACTGATTGTTGTTTTTTGTGCAGAAAGGTGCTTTATGTTCTGATACTAGCATTGGTCAAGGGGGTACTACTGCATGGATGGTGCTTTCTAACATCCCCAATTTCACGGCCAGAAAAGACCGATTTGTTTATGCTTTGTTTTTAAAATCAGAGTAATCTTTTACAGACAACAGTTGCGGAATTTGTTCCCAAAACAAAATATGATAAGAATTTATCAAAGCATTTCTTTAAAGAAATGTATTTTCATTATATAACAAAATCTCGGGATGTCATGTTCAATACAGACCAAAAGCGTAAACAGAACAACATAGACCTTACACAGTTAATTATAACTACGGGCCTATAATCCATATCTCTTGTTACGTCAGCCAACTTATGCTCTTGTGCCACAACCTCTAATACAAAGAAAATTGAGTGGGTCAGGCTTGGGAGCCTGGTGAGCATATAAGGTTTTCAACCCACAATAATATAATTATTATATTCAACCATCAAACAATCAACCCAATTACCCATCCCCATTATCTTCTTTATTTCTTAGGATTTTACCCTAAGAATTTAACTACCCGTCATTCATTCATTCCTAAGGATTGACCTAAGGAATTGGCACAAAATCTATTGCTACATAAAGCGCATCTACCAACATCATCCTTTAAGCGCCTCTGCCAGGATTACGTCATACACTATGAGGCGCGACTGCCAGGTTTATGACATTCTCTTTTAGGCGCATCTGCCGACATTATCTTATAAGCGCATCTGCTAGGATTATCCTATAAGCGCATCTGCTAGTATTATGACATTCTCTATTTGGTGCATCTACCAATATTATTCTTAAGCGCATCTGCTAGTATTATGACATTCTCTAATTGGTGCATCTACCAATATTATTCTTAAGCACATCTGCTAGTATTATGACATTCTCTAATTGGTGCATCTGCCAATATCATTCTTAATCATCTTACATACCTCATCATTTACCTCATCATTTTATCACATACCAACTATCTCATCTACCCATGTTCTACCCAACATATTAGTAGATATAAAATACATATACAGTTTAACTAATTTAAAAACCATATAAAACATCCATTCCACACTTATCTCAAATAAACAATAGTATATAAACACATAGCATGTATTTCATAGCAAATACTTCATATTTATGTGTTAAAAGAAAGTGACTACACTCTCACCCAAAATATATACTTAATACATTCAGACAATACTTGTATTAAAATTGTGTTTATGAAAGGGACTATACACTCACTCCAAATAAACAACAATATATATACACATAACACGTATTTTAAAGCAAATACTTCATATTTATGTGTTAGAAGAAAGTAACCACACACTCACTTGATCAGAAGATGATCGGACCGCACTACGGCTTGTAGAAGTAGTATTCTTTGGTGAAACCGGGAGATCTTCACAAAAACCGGGCTTCTCGCGGGCAGAGCTTCGGCTCGGAAATTTCACTTCTCGGGATCTGCGGGGCTTCGGAACTTGCTTCGGGGCTCGGAATTAATACCGGGGCTCGGAATTAATACCGGGGCTTCGGGATATTTCTTGCACGCAAAACGATGCAAAAATGAGAGAGAAAGGAAGATTTGAGCAAACAAATTCGGCAGCCCTCAACTTCTATTTATAGGGTGTTGAAAGAAGGATTACGCTGGGCGTAATTTCGGAGTACGTTGGGCGTACTCGGTACGCTGGGCGTACTAAGCCCTACGCTGGGCGTATGCTTCGGATCAGACTGCTACGTGGCGACCTTCGGGTGGTGAATCGTGGCTCTCTCTCGGGCCGCATAAGATCGAAGTACGCTAGGCGTACTTAAAGGTTACGCGGGGCGTACCCTAAGGATCAGATCGATGACTCCTCCTTCGGATAATATCCGAATTTATAATAAAATTAATATATTTTAATTATTTATAAAACTTCCGAAATTTATATCTTCCTCATACGAACTCCGTTTACGACGTTCTTTATATCCACGCGTAGGTGAGACTAAGCTCTACAACTTTCGTTTAGACTCCGTCGGCTGTTTTCGATTTTATTTTTATTGTATTATTTTTAGTAAGCCGGGACAGGAAAACTTCGTTATAAATTCATAACTTCTTCATCCGACGCCCGTTTTCGTCTGTCTTTTTACCGTTGGACTACTATCGACGAGATCTTCGATTCTCGTTTAGATTTTTTCGGCTAAAAACCGCTCGATCTCAAATCGAGTATTCGGGCTGCATACCGCTAAGTCGAAACTTAGAAAAATCATAACTTCCTCATACGAAGTCAGATTTGGACGTTCTTTTAATGCACACTCTCGGTTTAACGAACTCTACGAATTTTGTTTAGATCAATAAGGCTAAATATCGATCTAACGTAAATTCACTTTTTACGTCATTTAGCGTCGTGCCGGTTCTGTCGCAAAACTTCGACAGATCATAACTTCTTCGTTATAACTCGGATCTCAACGTTCTTTATATGTACGGAATCCTTGTAACATATACTACAACTTAGTTAAGATTATTCCTTCAAAATAATCTTCCATCAAAAAGTCATTTTTTTTACGCTTAACGTCTCTAAATTGACTAGCCCTGATCTTCGGGCGTGACAATTATCTCCCCCTTAAGATGATTACGTCCCAGAATCATCAACGAAATAGGGCTTGTATAATGATTCCATACGTTATCTCTTCATCCTAGGTAATAACCGTAACTTCTACGTTTCCTCGAAAGAGTATCTAACTCTAGGGCTTCTTTACTGCAGACGATGCTCAATCTTGCATCTGCTTTTCGTACTAAGTTGGACTTTCAATCATAACCTTCGAGTTACCAAATAAGTCCTTATTGTGGACTCCTTCTTCTTCTTAGGATAAATACTTTCCTTTATCTATTGTAACATGCCGATGGGTCGTGCTCTACTGACCTCTCATCGCACGATGCGACGCTTAGACTCGGTCTTTTTAAAGTTAAATTCCAGAATGGAATATACCTTCCTTCATATTCTAATGTGATATAATCACATTTCAGCATGTAGCATTTCTAGCTACAAACTTTATTAACAACGAGCGCGATACCAATGATCGCATTGACTTCAATCTTCTGACTTACGTTAGATGTTACTTCGAACCTAGTTCTCTGAACCACGTAACATACTCACCGTAGTCGGACTCCAATTGGATATGACCACTAGGGTCGGAACTGATGGGTTTTTGAGCATTCTAACACTCCTATGGTGTACATGCAACCCTAGAAACATTGGATCTATGTTTGACTATGATACATGCAAATAATTATTTTTCCAAGGTTCTTATCCTATCTAGCATGGCATGGGGAACTTGAATCAAATAAAGCTAGTAGAATTACTTACCTTGTAGTTGTAGTTGATTGCTTGGAGTTTTAGAGCCTAGCACCAATAGTGTGGATGCCTCAAATGGAAATCACAAATCACCACAAACTTGGAACTTTGAGAGAATAGTAATCACCTTCTTGAAATCGGCCCTCTTACTTTACTCAGCACAACTCGTGTGATTTCAAGAACCAAAGCCTCCTTTATATAGTGTGGTGGATTAGGGTTACATTCATGTAAACCCTAATACCCATGTCTTTTCATTTCCATGAGATCCATGGGTTAAAGCTCCATGGAGTATCCATGGACTTTCCATGCAAGCCTAGCCCATTCCAAATAAGCATTAGCCCACACTATATAAATACAAGAGCCCATATTTAATTAGTCATACTTTTGATCTCTAAATTAATTCTAGATTAATTATAGATCAATACTAATTAAATAATATGATTTTATATTAATATATTAGGACTTATAATATATTAATAAATCATAACTTATACTATTCTCAAACGATTATCCATAAATTGTTCGGGTGAAGTGCAACCCAAATGGACCATGCCGGGTCGGGTCAAGTACATACCAAATATAGTTATGGACTTAGACACTATATCCAACAGGAACAACAACCATCTTACTAGTCATTACCGAAACAATGGTAATGCATACCATAATAAAACGAAATCAATCACTAGCTTCTTGGTAACCTTGTGACTTTCCCTGATCCATGTGCGAGTCATGTGCTTCCGGTAGTATATGCATCTACTACCTTTCACACCTACTCATACTCGTCCCAAGTATTGTCCCGCAGTCGACCAAGTCACCATGCAAAAAAAATCACACAATCATTCAACACATCAGATAGCAAAACTAGGGTTTATATTAATTCTTGAAACGATTACACAGAGGTTAAAGTTCACCCTATACTATGCCTCAAATAGGTTACACTACATGTTACTATTCACATCGCTACTTTATAACTTGATCTTTAGATATAAAATCCTTATTCCTGATTCCTTGCATTGCCATCTGCTTCATCAAGGATCATTTGAAATTCTCTTGCCTTTGGCTTTGGCGGTGCCTCTAGCCTTGCTGCTTGATTTTTCCTTGGGCAGTCTTGCTTGAAGTGCCCCTTTTCATTACATTTGTAACACACCTTTTTGTTGAATATACATTCATCGGCGTAGTGCCCATGCTTTCCACACTTGAAACATGTCACCTCCGCGCCACATTTTCCCGAGTG